GTCATTAAGTCTGTGTTTTTTCCTGCTCTTTTATTACAGTGGGGTTTGTCTTGGATGTACTCCAGTGTATTATTAGAATAGGTACAGGAAAATATACACAGAGATAAAGGAAAAGATAAGGAACAAAACAGACACACCTTATTGCTCTGCCAAACCAAGAAGGGTTTAAGCATGTAAAAATAAATCAGCCAAAAGACTAAATGTTTGTTGAAGCTTTGAAACATTTATAATTGTGGCATAGCAGCAAAATTACAACAGTTCTATGGCTTCTATTCCATTCCAGCACCACTGAAGAAGTGGGAGAAAAGGAATTCTCTATGCTGCTTTCTATGGGCTCAAAATATTAGACTTCTGACATTTACCATGGAAAAAAAATCCATATTTCTAGACATCATGTTTGCAAAGGGAAGTTTGGAATGTAAGAGCAAACTATTAAGTTTCCTCCTATCTTCAGATGCAGCTGGCTCTCTGGCTTTGCTGGAAACATTTCCTTGAAGGATAATGAGAGACATAGTGGGACTTTGCTTTTTAGTCTTTTTTTAAAACAATGTTACCATTTTATTATGCAAAGACCTAGCTCTCTGGAGAAGGCACTAATGCTGGGAAAGGTAGAAGGAAAGGGAAGAAGAGGACGACCAACATCAAGGTGGACAGTTACAGTGGCTATGGATGCACCATTGGAAGACCTGAAAGACCAGGCTAGGGACAGATCTTCATGGAGAAAATCTATGTGGTCACTAAGAGTTGACACTGACTTGATGGTACATAATCAAGCAATTAAACCACTTTATAGAAAAAGAGAACAACTTTAAACAAGGATTGGCACCATTTCCTGAATATTATAAGATACCCCTTTAGAAGACTGTCTTCCAGAAAAGAACTGGGCCATCTAACTTCCTCTTGCTCACATTGGTACATCTCAAGTACACAGATTCAAGATCTAATGGAAATTTTTGAAAAATGTTTTTCAAAGTATCAAACACAACAATAATAACAATATACCTAATAACAGAAATATGTTAGCACTTCAGTGTAAACAATTCTTCCACTATGAGATACTGGGGCAAAGTACCACAGAGGGCTATGTGAAACTCAGGTTTTATAAAATCTACAAAATACTGCAAAACTCCAAATAGTCAGTTATTTAGCATGCATAAATGGGAAAGAAATTAATATAGCTGGTTCAAAATTCAACATTTACTAACTGACAACCTTAGCTCCTACTTTTGATTTTTAAGCCAAGCTGCATTGGCCTTACGGATATGAGATTAGGTTTTAAATAGTATGGAAAACCCATGATAAAATTTCAAAATAATGAGCCAATTTGCACTAGCAATAAGTATCAGCTGTTACAGAAGAAACAGAGAGACAGACAGAAATCTAAATATATCATGGATTAAATGCAACAATTATTTTCAACAGGATTTGCAAGAATGCTTAAGATTGGGACTAAGGAAATCAAATCCTATGTGTCTGACAAGTGCTCGAAAAAAATCACAGGTGTGATCGGCCATGCTGAGTCATTTAGAAGTTCATCTTTGAACTTCACTGATATGGTCAGTCAAGAAGGGAAGCCTTTCTGGAGTGCACTCAAGGATCTGAACCAAATTTCTAAACACAATTATCATCTGAAGTTTATCTCAACAAGAGGATTGGGATTTTTTATTGCCCACAGTTCTAAGTCTTTTACTGCTGTTTGACAATGTTAAAACAGGTGGAACTCTTTGATCACTTGCTCCCAAGATGGAAAAAAAGTGAGTCTGATGAAATGTCTGTACATCAGGATACTATGGACAGGAGAAGACCCAGTAATCAACCCTAATTACTCTGATTACTTATTAAGGAGGGTCTTTACCCACTATAGGTGGGTGAGCCATCTGTGGTGGGTCTAGTAACAAACACCCATGCCTTTATTACTTTGAAATGGGACCACTACTGCAATACACTCCACTTGGAGCTGACCATGAAGACTACTCAGAAACTTTAAATGGTGCAAAAAGTGACAGGTGAGAAGTCCTTTAGTAGCATAAAATGATACTGCAAGTGCTTCACTGGTTACTAGTTGTTTCCAGATATAATTCAAAGTGCACATTATTACCTATAACACTTTATACAGCTTAGATCCAGAGACAGTCTGTCCACCATGTCCAATCAACCTATGATGCTCCTAGTTCCCTCTCCTCATCAGGTTAAACGGGGTGGGCCTAGAAGAAGGCTTTTTCCACAGCTGCCCCATCTGTATGAAATATCCTGCCCCAGAGATTCAGGAAAGCCCCAACACTATCATTTCATAGAGCAACTAAACCTGTCGTTACGATAGCATTTGATGATTGAATGTAATGCACAAGTATTATTATTACAAAGTTTTTGAATGTTATTGCCATTATTGTTAATGTTACGGTTTTTAAAATTTGAGTTTAGTTGTTCAGAGTGGACAGAGTGGAATACAAAGTATACAAACGCAAAAATAAATGAACTTGCTCCTAAGATAGTTCAGCAACAGTGGGACAACCATGGTTTCTTTTGCTTCTATGAAATTTCCCAAAGCTAGGTTTGCTTCCTGCACAAATGCACATTTTTTGCTTACATGTTGGATGATGTCGCAAAAGAAGTGAACTGCAGGAAAGGCTTCAGCTCAAAAGCAAGAATTGCTCATTATTTCCTCCAGACCCAACCCAGAGACACTTCTCATTGCTCCATCATACTTGAGTTTGTGAAAAAAACAAAACATGCTGCAATATGGTACACTAAAAGCAGTTCAATCTCTGCACTGCAGACATGTGAACAATAACTATTTGTCAACTTCATGTTGCAGTGCAGATAAAAACACAGCAGGTATACTTTATATATAATAACATGGCAAACGATTGGTCCATCTAAAAACACTGCTACCCATACTCTTCTGTAAAACTCTTTGTGCATATTTTTTTCCAGGCTGGAAACTGGGACAGCAACAAGCTACAACAAGCTTGGGTTTTTACAGCATTGAATCTGACTTTTATTGGAGAAACATTTTTCAAACAGTAAGACATACGGCATTATTTTAGTATTGTTCATAATCATAGCAATGCTTGTTCGACTTGTTTCCCATTATTCTTGGGCATGGTATTTTAACGTAACAAAAAGTGGTAGTAATATTGACCATTCCAAACTGAATTTTTATCCTAATACATGTGAACTAGAATACTGCTAGTTGGATTTAAATTCTATTTGTGTAGATGCAGCCTGATATAAACATGAATACATACGCACATCAGAAGATCCCTACCTGTACCACAGCCACCTGAATATGCTGGCATTACAAGTCAAATACAAGTGTAGTTTTACACCAGCAAAGTCACCTGGCTATGGAATGCTACTATACAAACAAAAATGCTAGTGCACAAAGTTTTTTATCTATATCCAAAATTCATAAATACCTAAATGAGTCATTCTTTGTAGAGGCTTCTGTATGGTAGCTATCATATTAAGTCTGTCCTTAGATTTATCAGGATGAAGGAGCCTATACACTTTGCACTCCACAATACATTTTTTATGTCCACATCCTCTAAAAACTCAGATTCAAATTGACTTCAGGATAGTGCTTCAGTCACACTAAAAGCCATAATCCATTTTAAGAGCTAAGGTGGGGTAGAATTTAAACCTCTTCCCACCTCCTTAGGTGCTTTTGTCCCAACCATGCCACCTTGCTCTCAAAACATGATTGAGAGAAAAATAATACAGGGAATTGGCCTGCCAGGGACACTACAGTACTCTCTAAATTGGCATTCCCACTTTTTGTTATTGTATGCTATTAGGATAAAATCATGCTGAGTCAACCTTTGTTGATCTCAAGAAGTTAAACCAAATCAGATTTAATAAATATTTGATAGGAGCTATGAGGAAATACCAGGGTTGTAAATAGATTGGGAAGACCAAAAAAACAAAAACAAAACCCACTTCCCTACTGTTGCCCAGATCAATTATATTAATGTATCTATGAAGCCATCAGGATATGCCACTTTCTGATTACCAATTAAAAATCAATAAATAGATAAGTAAGTGAGATGTTAAGGTTTGCCACACTCTGTTTCAAATTGCAATCGGCAGAACAAAAACAAATATAAGTTAAAACATCAAGAAAGATAAACTTGGACAGAGCCATTAAAAATACAAAGCAGAGGCAGGAAAACATAATTTCAAGTACAATAGTCTGACTTAATTTAACTGCTAAATATCACATTAAACTACCTTCTTCCTGCAATAACTATGGAACTTATGCCAGGGGCAATTAAAACTGTCAAAAGCCACTACAGTAATATGCCCAAAGAAATATTCCTCTTTTCCTACATATTTCGCTAATGGAATATAGGCCCATGTGAGCAATTCTTTGAATAAAATCTTGTATTTCCACAAGTGTGCAGATTATACCAACAGGTTGAAAGACTAGGCTGCATTATAACTTGACTGGGTTAACACTCTGGCTTTACACAGTAAGCCAAAACAAACATATTTACTGTTTAGAATAATATGTTAATGCAGACAAAATGTCCTGAAGCAACTGTTCAGAGGTGTTGATATGACGTTATAAAGGCTCTTTTAAGCTTGAAACATTTATATGTGGCTTTATAGGTTAAAAGGGAATAATGGAGTTCCTCTCCTCCCTTATATTTTGTTTGCTCAACCCAAGAGTAGGCTGCCTGAGCTCCAGGCTTCACATGGACCCTGAACCCCAGAGCCATACTGGATCATAGCTGTTGAAAACTGACAGTATGATTTCCTGCCATTTTGTAATAAGAAACAATAAAAACTAGTGTAAGCCCTAAAAGCATCACCCCAAGAAAATAATGACTCAGTAAATCCATAAGTAAACCACAGATCATCACAATGAAGAATTACACACTAATACCAATGAAATGCTAGGCACTCCTTTACTGTTAGGATGGACGTGCAGGATCTAAGGAAGCAGCAGTAGAAGAGAAACAGACAAATAATCAGAATTTGTGGGCCTTGTGTCATACCTGTTCTCCAACAGAGTCATGCACACAACCTCTCGCACACCAGGATTGTTGGCTTTTTCAATGGAGCAGCTTTGCAGATTCCAAGTGGCCACCCTCAGCACAGGTCTCCCATCCCGTACCCCACCAAACATTTCCACTGTGGGCCGTGTGGAGATCATCTGAGTTGGCCCTCCAGGAGGAAAATCCAAATCCTCACTCTGGAGGCTCAGGGACGTGGGGCTTGGGTGTGGCTTGACAGTGAAATTGAGGCCACCATTGGTATTAGTGGAAGGGGGTCTTGACCGCTCTGCAAAGATCTGATGCCGGATTTTGTCCAAGAATGAAGAGTTGATACAGTCCATCTTGACCAAGTCCTCAATACTTTTGAAGGGGCCATGCTCTCTGCGGTATTCTACAATGCTATTGGCAATTTTTTCTGTGATACCACGGATGCTCATGAGCTGAGCAGGTGTGGCAGTGTTAATGTTGATTTTCGTAGCCGAAAGATGGTCCAGATTCTGGTCTTTCCTTAAAGAGCTCGGCGAGTGCTGTGCAGAATTTCCTTTGCTGCTCACGCAGATCTCAAACTTCACCTGCTCCAGCTTGGCAGCTCCAACACCACTCACCAAGGCCAAGTCTTCAACTTTCTTGAAGCCACCAATGTACTCACGATATTCCACAATGTTTTGGGCTACCATCCTGGTGACCCCAGGAAGAGTCATGAGTTCCTCCTCTGTGGCTGTGTTAATGTTCAGCCTCTCCTGGTTCACAAGGATGTTGCTGAAATTGCACGCTGCGCTAAATTTACGGCTGTGGCAGAGATCTGAGGGGTCTCTGGGAATTGACCGGTGGCAGCCAAGGTTACCCCCCATCGCTTCTTGTCTATTTTGCAATGAACCCAAGTCAAAGTGGCTTGTTTTCCAGCTCAAAGGGGACGAGCAGCTTCCCAGGCAGAGACGGCTTGGTACTCAGGTTGAAATGACAGCTCTGCAGACAAGTTCCGAAGAAAGAGGGCAAACAGCACAGCACTTCTCAGAAAACCCTGGCAACATCACGGGAGGGAGAGACAGTAAACACTCGGCTTAAAATCACAGTTGCGAAGGGCTGGAGTAATCGCTGGCTTCCGAAGCGCTTCAGCAGTCAAGCGGTGGGGAAAGTTAAAAATACGGTAAACACACGCACGGGCACGCTCGCATGATGAAAGGCCAGCCCCCAAAACCGCGGGTCAACAAGCCTCCCTCCTTTCCCCCCCCCTTCTCCCCTTGAAGGGAAGAAAGCCTTTCTCGTCCCCCTCGTTTCGGCCGGGGTGGCGAAGCGTCCCACATCTGAAGGAGGAGCCCGCAGCCTCCAGTCGACCGAGTCTCTTCAGAGCAGCTGCAGCGCTGCGGTCCCAGGCAAAAAGCTCTTCCTACCGTTGCATCTCACCGGGGAGCATCCGAGCTCCGGGAGGGCAACGCGGTTCCTTTTCTAGCAGCTCGTCCCCCCACGTGGGACTCTTCCTTTCCGACCTCCGCCAGCGGATTTCCCAACCTCGCCGTCTTTTGCAAAGCCGGGAAGGCGGGGAGAAGAAGCAGCGACCCAACACTCCGCCCGCCGCGGGGCTTTCGCAGCCCTCTTTCCCCCCGCCGCGGTCGGCGGGTGCTCCTGCCTTGCTCCAGCTCTCGCCCCGGCAATGAGCTTCTCCGCGACCGCCCTTTGAGAGCTCGAGGCCGCCCCCTGCCTGCGGGCAAGGGCAGTGCCCCGAGAACCAGCCTGCCGGACCAGCAGCGACGGCAGCCTCGGTTTCCCTC